GAATTAGTAGACTGAGTATGGCAGATTGCTCTCCCAATGTGGGTGAGCTTTGTCCAATCTGTTGAAGGCCTAAAAGAACAAAAAGACTGAGTAAGAAAAAAGTCACTCTCTGCTTGACTGTATTCAATCTAGATCATTAGTCTTCTCCTGTCTTCAGACTCAGACTTGGAATGAAACATATACCATTAACTCTCCTGGTTCTCAGGCCTTCAGACTTGGACTGGAACTAGGCCCTCATCTCTCCTATGTCTTCAGTTTGCCGACTGCAGATTACATATATGTGTGTGTGTCATACAGATAATATATATAATAATATATCATGTATATAATATACAATATATATAATCATATACATAATATATATCTCTCATAATAAGGAACTGGGAACTGGCCCATGCTACTAAGGAGGCTGAGAAATATATATACACATTGATATCAATATCAATATAGCCATTAGTATAGTACACATATACATACACATACACAAGCATATATATATACACACATATATACACACACACACATCCCATGTGCTATCTGTGCTCCTAAATCCAGCCCCTCCATGTGTGCACTAGATCCCATACTCAAGGGCATTTTTCACCTCTCTCCTGCATCACCAATTTTTCCCTCTCTACTAGTTTCCCAGGAAAGTCCCAAAGTCCCATCAGTATATACACATACTGCAATTTCTTCCATTTTAAAAACACACTCTTGGCTAACTACTCCATTCTTTTTTCCCCTCTTTATAGAAAAACTACTCAAAAGAGTCATCTATACTAGCATCTCCATTTCCATTCCTTCCATTGTCTCTTAAACTCACTGTAACCACTCCACCCCACCAAAAGGGCTCATACCAAGGTACCAATGACTTTCATGTCGCCAAATCCTACAGTCAATTCTCAGTCCTCATCTGGCTCAATACACCAGCAACATAGGACACAATTAGTCACACCCACCTTCGTGAAACACTTTATCAAGCTTCTGTGACAATTCTTGATTCTCCACCTACATCAGTAAGAATTCCTTCTCAGTACCTTTTTTTTTTTAAAGATTCTATCCATTTACTTGACAGAGAAAGAGCACAAGCAGGGGGAACGACAGGCAGAGGGAGAGGGAGAAACAGTCTCCCCGCCGAGCAGGGAGCCCAAGGCAGGGCTCAATCCCAGGACCCAGGGATCGTGACCCGAGCCGAAGGCAGACGCCCAACCAACTGAGCCACCCAGGTGCCCCCCTTCTCAGTACCTTTTGCTGGTACCTCCTTACTTCCCCAATCTCTAAATATCACAGCATTCTAGATTCAGGTCACAGACAGTTTCATTCTCTTCTCTTTATATTCACTTCCATGAAAATCACAGCCTGATGGCTTTAAAATAATCTATAGCACACTGATGACTTCCAAACTTATATAAACAGCCTAGACCACTCCACTGAACTTCAAACTTGTATATCCAATTACTTAGTACATACTTGATTTCTAATGGGCATATCATAGTCAATATGTATAAAAATTTCCCCAAACTGCTCCTTCTATAAATTAGAGTTCTCAGTAAGTGCACCTTCATTCTGATTACTCAGGCCAAAAACCTTAGTCATCCTTGACTCTTCTCTTTCATTCACACTTTACATCCAATCTATCAGCAAAAATTTTACCTTCAAAATAAAGCTGAAATCCTACCTTTTATCACCACCTTTGCAGCTAAAATCTTGGTTCAAGCCACATTACTTCTTATCTCCTTGCCTCTACGGTCTATTCCCAAAATAGTAGCCAAAATGATTCTGTTAAAAGATAATTCAATTTAAAGGATTATATACCATAACCAAGTGAGATTTATCCCAGGAACGCAAGAGTGGTTCAAAATAAGAAAATCAATCAGTGTAATGTATCACTTTAATAGAATGAAAGAAAAATACCACATAATCATCTCAATTGAACAAAAAAGGCATCTGAAAAATCCAACACTCTTTCATGATAAAAAAGACTCAGAAAACTAGAGTGGAAGGAACTTCCTCAAACCGATAAGGGCATTTATAAAAAACTCCACAGCTAATACATTCATTGGTGAAAGACTGAAGTTTTCACCCTAAGATCAAGAGCAAGACAAGAATAGTGAGCATATCATAATGCATATGATTGTTGAATCACTATACTATACGACTGAAACTACTTTAATATTATATATCAACTATCCTTCGATTTAAAAAAAGAATTATTTGGGGGGAGCCTGGGTGGCTCAGTCGGTTAAGCATCTGCCTTCAGCTCAGGTCATGATCCCAGAGTCCTGGGATCAAGCCCTGCATTGGGCTCCCTGCTCAGCGGGGAGTCTGCTTCTCCTTCTCCCTCTGTGTGCTCTCTCTTTCTCTCTCTCTAATAAATAAATATTTTTAAAAATAAAAATTATTTTTAAAAAGCAAGACAGGGATACTCACTTACCACTGCTATTCAACACTGTATTGGAAATTCTGGCCAGAAAAATTAGACATGAAAAATAAATAAATAAAAAGCATTCAAATTGGAAATGAACAAGTAAAACTCTCTTTATTCACAGATGACATGATCCTACATATAAAAATCCCAAAGAGGGGCGCCTGGGTGGCTCAGTTGGTTGAGCGACTGCCTTCAGCTCAGGTCATGATCCTGGAGTCCCGGGATCGAGTCCCGCATCGGGCTCCCTGCTC